AGAACCAAACTTGATCCTCGAGCAGAAAAATGCCTCTCTTTGGGTTTCAAACTTGGCACTCAAGGTTATATCCTCTTAAACCTCTCTAATTGATCCATCTTTGTGTCTAGAAATGTGATTTTCTATGACAACATTTTTCCACTTTCTCCAATTTCATAATCTATCAATTCCTCCTTGCCTCAAAATACTTCAGTTTCAGATTCATATACCAATCGTTTTGTTATTCTTCTTTTTCCCAGCCTCACATAATTACTGATAATTCCAATGTTGCAGTTTCTATCCCTTCTATTTCAGATCCATCTATCTCATTGCCTACCACTTCATTACCTTTAGCACCTACAATTATGCATTCAATCAGACCCAAACTTAGGCCATCGTATCTGCAGGATTGTCACTATACATTTATTTCTTCAACAAATCAACTGGTGCCAATTTCCTCCACCATTAAACATCCAATTCAGTCTACTTTATCCTATGCCACCTCTCCAACCCTTATAAAAGCATAAGTCTGATGGGAGTATTGAATGGTATAAGGCTCGATTAGCGAAGGGATTTACATAAATAGAAGGCATAGATTACTTGGACACCTTCTCCCCTGTTGTAAAAATTACAACAATAAGGCTACTCTTAGTACTTGTAGCAACATTTGCATGAGGAGGTATATATGACTCCACCCCTTGGACTTACTATTCCAAATAAAACACAAGTTTGCAAACTGAATAAATCCCTTTATGGGTTGAAACATTCCAATAGGCAGTGGTATTTTAAGCTTTCTAAGGCCTTAATCTCATTGGGATATGTACTTCTCAATTAGATTACTCTCTATTTGACCAGTTCCCATGTTACTGCGCTTTTAGTATATGTAGATGACATTTTATTGGCAAGAACAAGTATTGATGAAATCAACTCAGTCAAAGCTTATCATGATGATGCTTTCAAAATTAAAGATTTGAGAGATCTCAAATATTTTTTGGGTTGAAGTAGCAAGAAATTCAAATGGCATATCCTTATCTCAAAGAAAACATGCTTTGGATATATTGGCTGATACTGTTTTCCTTAATTCAAAACCAGTTACAACACCTATGGATTCTAAAGCAAAAGTTACTCCGTTTTCAGGAGATCGACTTCAAGATGCTTCATCTTATAGAAGATTAATTGGTAGATTGCTGTATTTAACATTGATAAGACTTGATATTTCGTTTATGGTACAACAACTTAGTCAATTTCTTGCTAAGCCTACCACTTTTCATCTTTAGTTAGCCCACAGATTGCTCAGATATATAGAAGCTTCTCCAGGTGCATGTCTTTTCTTTCTTGCAAAATCCGACTTGTAACTCAAAGCTTTTTCAAATTCTGATTGGGCGAGGTGTTATGATATTAGGAAGTCTGTTATTGATTTTTGCACATTTCTTGTTAACTCTTTGGTGTCTTGGAAAACTAAAAAGCAAAATACAGTTTTCACTCCTTTAGTGAAGCTGAGTATTTGGCTCTTACATCCACCATATATGAAATTCAATGGTTGCTGTTTTTACTTAAGGATCTTCACATTTCATATCTCCAGCCGGCTCTATTTTTTGTGATAATAATTCAGCACTTCAAATTGCCGGCTACCCCGTTTATCATGAAAGGACCAAACATATTGAAATTGACTGCCATTTGGTTCTTGAAAAAACTTATGCTATTTTGATAAAGATTTTACCAGTCTCTACTTTAGCACAATATGCTGATATATTCATGAAGCCCTTGCTGCTCCATAATTTCAGTTTTTGATTAACAACTCATGAATGATTAAGATCTATTCTTCATCTTGCTCTCCGGGGGGGGGGGACCCTTGCTGCTACCATAATTTCAGTTTTTGATTAACACTCATGAATGATTAAGATCTATTCTTCATCTTGCTCTCCTGGGGGGGGGGGGGGGACTGAACTAAATGTTCATTCGAGCTGGTGAACACATCATCTGCGCGGCAGGACAGAGAAGATATCAGCTACACATAACAACAACGCAGCGTTTATAGATTGAATTTAGGAAGCAGTTACGGGTAATCTAGCAACTTAACTGGTGTTATTTGGGGGGGGGGGGGATCTGAACTAATGTTCATTCAGCTGGTGACACATCATCTGCCGGCAAGGACAGAGAAGATATCAGCTCACACTATAACAACAACCAAGCTGTTATAATTGATTTAGGAGCAGTTACGTAATCTAGCAACTTAAACTGAGTGTTTTGTAGATGCTTCTAGAATTAGTTAGTTTGTTTTGAGCTATTTTTATATATAAGAATTGATGCAAGCATGAGGTGATTCATTGAATAAGAATTACAACTATTTTTGCCTAAGCTTTGATTTCTACAATAATAATGTGAAAGGAAAAAAGAACATTGGGATTGGCAAAAAAAAAAAATGATTAATTTTAGTAATGATAAAATATTGGCTAAAGAAATAAATTAAAGTCGCTATCAAGTAAGATTGCTTATATTGATTTTATAAATTAAAATTAATGTTTCTAATAAATTATAAATCTTAATATTTTATAATGGCGAACTAATGTTTTTAGCTTTCTAATATTAATTAGTAAAAAAGTCATCTTATTTTTTAAGGAGCAAGTTATTTTTTATTGAATTAATTAACTCAATGAAAAGGAATATTGTATTGCATTTTACCTTCTAATTGATAATTAATATAATATTCTATGTGACAATAATGATTTTATTTGTATTCTAATTGTATATATCTTCGACCATAATATATCAGTGACCTTTTCTACAAGGAATATTAATTGGGTGAAGATGTTTAAGATTAATTTTTTTATAAACTACCATGAAATGATAATATAAGACATGTCTTGTAACACTGCGAAAGAGATTACTATATTACTATTTCGAGGTGCAAAACAATTGCATGAGGACCATAGGTTCAAATGGCGTGTAAGCATGCCACTTGGTGAGAGGACATGAGCATAATTCCTCTTTATGCCATTTCTTTTTTCCAATTCCCCCCCCCCCTTTTTTTCTAATGTTATGAAATTTACTGCAGCCTTTTATAAGCACGTCTCTTCTATGCCTGATCATTGGTGTCTCTAAATTTGAGACAACTGTTTAATGTAACACTATCTATACTCTCTTTTGCAGTGTTACGAGATATGTTTTATATTATCATTTCACGACAATTTATAAAAAAATTAACCTTAACTTACCCAATTAATATTCTTTTAGAGAAAGTTATTGGTATTTTATGATCAAAATATAGACAATTGGAATACAAATAAAATCATTGTTATCACGTAAAATATTGTATTAACTATCAATTAGAAGGTAAAATTTGTATAATATTCTTTTTCATCGAATTGATTAATTCAATAAAAAATAACTCACTCCTTAAGAAATAATATGATTTTTACTAATTAATATTAGAAAGCTAAAAATAGTAGTTCGGGATTATAAAATATTAAGATTCATAATTTATTGGAAATATTAATTTTAATTTATAAAATTAATATAAGCAATTTTACTTTATACCGCTTTTTAATTTATTCATTAGCCAATATTTTATCATTACTAAAATTAATCATGTTTTTTTTTATTTTATTTTATCAATCTCAATGTTTTATTTTCCATTCTCACTATTATATAAATTATAAAACATCTCTAGTCATAACATCACATTCATATTAATTTTTTTTGAATCAATTGTATCCCACCTCTCTCTCATAAAGCACAATATATTAGATATTATTATTTCGAGGCACGATATAACTAAATGACGACCAGTGGTTCGGATGATATGTGAGCTCACTAAACAATAATAATAATAATAATAAACAACTATCAGTTTGATAATTATAGCTCCAATCAAATAATTCTTTGTTGTATGTTAGATAGTCATGAATTTTTTTTTTTGAGAAAAATCAAACTAGAATTTCATTAAGTGAAAACTGTATACAAATATGGGATACAATCAATATATTTTTATATTTTTGTATAGGAAGCATAATAATAAACCACTTATACAAAGAATAAAAAAACGCAATCTTAATTTGAAGTATATGATCGAGTTAACAGAGCATAATATTTGTATCATAGGGGATTATTTGCTCCACTTGGTGGCTATTCATGGCCACTGTTCGACTCTCTGGTCTTCCTACAAGTCCGATATGGTTACCTTCAAATTTCTTCTTTTTATTGGAGATAAGATATACACTTCTTTCTGTATAACTATCCAAATAATAAAAGACGTCAGATAAAATCATCATAATGGTGATAATAATAACTCAGAACTAGATCTGATGACAAAATCTTCAGTATATGGGTAACAATAAATCTCAATATATGGGTGACGATAATTCAGATCTATTTATAGATAAAAAGATCTATCTGTTTATAGATAAACAGATCTGAGGGATATTTGCAAAAAACCAAACAAAAAAAGAAAAGAGGTGAACACCAAACAAAAAAAGAAAACAGGTGAACACCGATGAGAGCTCACTGGTAGCTGCCGTAGAAAAAGAGAAGAGAGATTTTAGATTTTCAGAAAAAGAGAGATCGCAATCATTAGATAAAGAGAGAATATGAATTTTTAAATTTGAAATTTCAATTCCCTTTTCATTAATTAAAATTTTACCATATCCTCTAGAGGGAAAGAGAAAGTGCAAGTTTCAATTCAACTTTAATATCTCTTATCTAATCAATAAAAAAATTATTAAGGGCACTGTAGAGATTTTACTTATCAAGATTTAGATGATTCAGTCTTAAGTTGAGCCAAATATCTTTATTATTATTTTAAATAGTAATTTCAAGATCTTAATAAAAGTTGAAGATAAATAAATAACCTTAAAAACTAATAATGTAAACAAAATCAAATGCTACCCCAAATCACAATATCTCCATGTCCCACCACCACCACATCAAGAAATCCATCATTCCGATTCCAATCACTGGAAATAACCCCACTGAGACACCAAAACCAGCCTGCCCTGAATCAACAGACCATCACATATAAAAAAATAATAATACATTGTTAATAAATAATAAATAAACACACTCTTTAAATTATTCTCTCACTCCTTTCTCCCCCACTTCCCTCGGCCATAAAAACCCTTCACTTTTCTTTGTTTTAGATCTTATCGAGTTTCAGTCATGAAATTCCCATTTGTTTACCAAACCTCACATCCAAATTCCATTCCTATTTGCAATTCTTATTTCACTTTCTTGTAGTAATTAATTCCCCACTTCACCATTTCTCTTGCAGCTTTTTCCACTCCAAGATTTGTGTACCCACCAAAAATTTTCTTTTTTTTCTCATAAATGCTGATATGAAATTTATATTTTCCTGTTCCAAGATTCTTGCTTTGAACCGTTCTTGTTCCTGAATATATGTATATTATCCACAAACTTATCCGATATTGTTAACACTGTCATGTCTTTTAGTTCACTTTCTTATTTTGTTGATGCCGCCAATTCATGAATGTGAAAACGGATCTGATATCTTCAAGATCCGTACAATCTATATCTGGCAGCGACGGTTGTGGTGGCCGGATTTAGCAATACCCATTAACCCGTCTGTTGATTTCATTGCGCCGATGAAAAGGTCAGTCCGTCCACTATATAGCATTCTGTTACTGATTGTGTTTGCTATTACTATCAGTTGCCGGATTCTGATCCGTCGTGCCGCTGGTGGTAACGACGTCGGATTCTTCAGCTCAATCGAGCTAGAAACTAATGTAATAGTTAGCCCACCAGTCCCAGTTTTCAATTCTACTCTGCTAAAATATGCAGCTATTGATATAGGTGAAACTCAAGGAAAGCAAGAAATAGAGCAGTTATTGGAAGGTAATTTTGCTAGTCAAGGAAGGTACAGGACTTTTGCCACTTGGAGAAAGTTTAACCATCATGATGTTAGAGCTAGCTCTTCTAGAGCTATACCTGTAATGCTTAGGTCACCTCAGTTTTACAGGTATTGGTTAGATTTTAGAAGGGTATTGCATGATTGGGCTAGAAAAAAGAGGTACCAACCTGATATAATGAACAACTTGATAGGGCTTGTAAAAAATCCAATTGATGCTAGTAATGGATTGGTGGGCTTAAACAACAAGTATGGTTCTTGTGCTGTAGTGGGAAATAGTGGGATTTTGTTGCAAAAAGATTATGGGAAGTTGATTGATGGGCATGAGATTGTAATTCGATTGAACAATGCAAGAACAGAGAGATTTGAGCAATTTGTTGGGTCTAAAACCAATATTTCCTTTATAAATAGCAACATATTGCATCTTTGTGCAAGAAGGCAAGGATGTTTTTGTCATCCATATGGGATTGATGTTCCTATGGTTATGTATATTTGTCAACCGATGCATTTCTTGGACTATACCATCTGCAATTCGTCTCATAAGGCGCCTTTGATCGTTACTGATCCACGCTTTGATGTGTTGTGTGCAAGAATTGTTAAATACTATTCTTTGAAGCGGTTTGCAGAAAGGACGGGTAAAGCATTGGACGAATGGGGCTCTGCACATGATGGTGCTATGTTCCATTACTCCTCTGGTTTTCAAGCTGTAATGCTAGCTGTGGCGATATGTGACAGAGTTAGCATATTTGGATTCGGAAAATCGAATTTAACTAAGCACCATTATCACACAAATCAAAAAGGTGAGCTTGGTTTACACGATTATGAAGCAGAGTATGATTTTTATAGCGATTTGGTGAATGTTCCACGCTTAATACCATTCGTTTCAGACAAGTTCAAGTTTCCTCCTGTGGTAATTTATCACTGAATGTTTTCGGGGTTGATCTTTTGTTTTTGAAAAATTAGAATTTTCATTGCAAGGTTAAGTCTTTGTATTGCTCTAATTGTAATTACTTCCACAAGACAATCAAAAGGAATATAGCTGAAGATTTCCGTTTTAGTTTCTGGCCTTGCACCATTCAGGTAGCTTAGGGTGATAATGAAAAATTGACTAGAATATGATTTCAAGATTTGGGTTCTGTTTTGTCTTTCAAAGTCCTCAAATTCTCGTCTTGATTACTTCTTTGCTTAATATGCTCATTTGAGCAATCATATTAAGCATTCCTCATAGCTGATGCATCTTTAAACTCCTAAATATGTTGTTAAATCGTATATGAGATCTTTGGGAAATGATACGCGGAATTTAGGACAGTATGCTGCTATTAGTTCTTGTAAATACATGCTTTTATTTGGGCAGACGTGCTTCTATAGGCTACAGGCCTTTGTATCATACAGTATAGTGTAGGCAAAAGAATTGTATAATCCCAATTATGGCCAATTTGTATGATATTTCTTTCTTTGCATTACTTCTATTTAGGTAGAAAGCTTTCATTTGTTGCTTTAACTAATTTGAGCTCTGACGGCGAAATGCAAATGTAGAAACATGTCGTTTGGCCCTTTTTCTGGTTTTATTACATATATTCATTCTTCATTATAGATCGAGACATTTGATTCTAAGATCAAGCGAAGTGCCTAGCAATTAAGGGAATTGATATCTAACATTCTCGCTTAGCTTTGAACTTTAGATGATTGTTAAGTTACAGCTAACCTTGCTTTGGAACTTCAGATGCCAGAATTCTGGAGCTTTGCATGAGCAACAAATAATAATTTCTTAAAAAGATATAATTTTATATTGTATTGCAAAATAATCTTAAATAGCTATTTAAAACTTAAACTTACAGTGATATATCTTGATCCACCCTCAATTAAAGTTTATACTTCCTAACAAACAATATCTTAACATAATTACCCTTTAACATTGATGGGTAGAATTCAAGATTTTCTTTAGATGAAGGGAGAATAACAATGATAAATAAAATAATATGTAAGATGCATTCTTAAAAAATGCAGCCTTAGATGCACTGCCAAATGATTTTTTCCCATCCATAAGAGAGAGAAAAAGGAAACGGTAGGCAAAACTAGAATTATCATTACATGCAACAAAAACTAGTCAAAGCTACAACATAGGTTAGCCACGGTGATGATTATGTTATATACAAACAAAATCCATCAACATATACTTGAGAGCATTAGATGTTAAAAACTTAGAACCTTAGCAAAAAAAAAAAAAAAGTCCCCTGTCTATGTTCCTCTGTCCCCAGAACAAGAGAATGGCAAAAAGCTAGGAATACACAAAAAGAACTTTGTTAGTCCCCTTTCTTCAACTCATGGTTCTGCAGTGTCCATAATCACATCCTTCTCCTCGTACTTGACTCCCACCAGGAACCTTATGCATGTCTGCAATTCAAATCAACGCTCGCAATCAAGGCCAAAAATCCTTAAATCAAAGGACTTGCCAGTACTTGCTAGTGCTATATGCTGTAAACCACAATAACACAGAATTCTATTAGTAATAGTACCTGTTTTGGATCGTAGACAGCATACTCATTATATTCCAGAGGACTATCTTTATGCTCTGATAGCTTCAAGCTGCCGCAAGGAACCTTTATGTCATTTTCCCACATGAAGTGTTCTGACTCATCTGTTTTCTTCCTCCCTAACCCTTTAACGCCGATCTTTTTCTCTTCAAAGGATTTCGTATCCTAATGCAAATATAATAACAGTTCTTTTAGGATCTTTGTTTGTTAAAATGAAGTGTAAAATAGTTTCAAGGCTTCAAAACAGACCTCTGGCAGGCTCGAAATCTCAGTTGCTTGATCTCCAAGAGAAGCAACGGCTAGAACCAGGAATCCTTCTGGTCTATCTATAGCAGTAAAACCATATCTAGCTGCTTCTGCAGCAGCATCAGAACAAACAATTGCCTTGCCAAACTGTAAAGCCAAATCAGTTCACTTCAAACCTAATCAGGAATCCAATATAAATGCTAAATAAAAAAAAGTATGTTGATGTACTTTACCATATAACCCGGTACCGGAAGAGAACAAGCAGCTGGTAAGAAGCCCTTCTGCAAATGCCTTAACAAGTTCGAACTTCGGGTACCTGAAAGAGATTTAACATACAAAAATGCTGCTATAGCCCAAACACGAAAAAAGAAAAAGAAATACAATTAGTTCGATGAGTTTGGTTTGGTTGAAGATTAATCTCACCACACCACAACAAGACTTTGTTCGGCAACTTCTTGATTTCATCTAAAGAAGGCCAAGCGCTTGATTCAACGGCAAAAATATTCTCAACTGATACTCCATAATCCTAAATTGCAACATAGTGAATACATTATAGATGTAATTGTTGATAAGATGCCAACAAAAATTAAAGAAAGCAAAGCATAAAATTCGAGTGGTCTCACAATATCTCCAACTTTGATTGGTTCATAAGTTTTTTCCAAGTATTTGACAATCATTTTATATTCATCAGAATCTTTCTCCAGTGGAGAAATTGAGCATCCTAACTTCTTGTATCGATCTGACAGTGGATCATCAAGAGTTGAACCAGACATATCTCCTATAAGATGTGAGGCCACAGTTATATCCCGGACAGTCTCAAATGCTGCTGCAACCTACAAATTAAATCCATAATCATATGAAGGAATGATTTGAAGGAGAACTTATCTACAGTTACTAAAAGGCATATCTTGGGCTGTACATTATCTGCAAGTTCATCATAGTCTCTTAGGATCAAAGGCCTAGTAGAGTGCATAAGATTAAACCATCTCTGGCTGTAATCTGACCAAACAGCCTCAGCCTTTTGCTCAGTCCCTTTCATTGATTTCACTGCTGCTACAAACTGAAGTAGAACCTCCTCACCTGAATGTTATATCACTTAGTTATACACATATGAAGCAGGAAGGCAGGTCGAGCCAGGGGAGCAAGTAAAAAGTTCTTACATCTTTTCAAATGGAAATTAGAGAGCATCCCCATCGGTAGGTCGGGTGGGTCTAAACTCATCTCCATCATGGCATACCTGTGTCCAAATAGGCCTCAAGGCTCCTAATTTGCAAGTGAATAAGTAGAAAAACAAATGGGGCAAAGCAATACCTGTAAATCTCCTGACTGCACAAAACCTTCATAAAATTTGCAACCTTGGGTTCAAGTTTGCAATGTGTAGCTGCGACTCCTAGCTGCCTAAGACCAAGCCCTCCTTGTCTCACATCAACCCCATCATCCTATTTGCATTATAAAAAATAAAAATCTTTATCGAACAAAACACAATCTAAGCTATAGTGTAGAGAAGACATATATATACAAAACCTTACCATGTCAATAGGATAGAACTTTAGTCGTTTCTTTTCGAACTTCTTTTCTCTCTCCCACGGCTCAAATTCATTTCCAGTAATTTCTTCAAAGAGCCTTACAAACTCTTTAATAGCATTATCCACATTTTCCAACTCTTCAAGCCTCTCCTCTGCGTTTGGATCATCACCTGCTTTCCCTTTCTTGTAGAACAAATGCAAGTTACTTTCTGACACTGTGATAAGTTGGATGATACAATATCTACAAGTAAACACAAAATGTAAAACTCTATAAGACAGAAATGTCAATTAAAACGAACATATAGTGGAAAAGTTTTCTTCAATATTTACTCATTTATTTCTCTTCCCATGTCACAGAGAGAAAATGCACAATTGTACAATATCCCATCTCTCTCAAATATTTGTGCACCACGATCGTGCAATTTGGCATCCTTATGAACTCCTCTTTTGCCATAAACCTTGAGCTGCAAACAGAAAAATGTAAGTTGTTGTTTTCTTGAGACTGATTCCTAATTTCTCAACTCAAAGAATTAGAAAAGAGTTGTATATTTGTGAGGGTGTATATACTTCTGCTGAAATGGACTCGAGAGCTTCTTCGCTCTGTTCTTGTTTATCCCAAGGAATTCCTCTGCCTTCCACAGCAAGATCAGAAACAATATCATAAGCTTCTAATGGTAAGGGTTCTTGCTTCTCAATGCTTTCTAGCAGCCATTCTTCCCTCACAACAGGTATGCTCCTCTCCCTGCAGCAGAAAATTTCAACTTATATATTAATGTTATAGAATGTCAAATAATATTCTTCCATCACTACAGGCTTCTGTTTTTTTGAAAATTAGAAATTCATATTCTCATTCCTATTAAATTGAGAATTGTACAGTTTATAGAGAAATTTACTATTTGTATGCTAAGTAAAATATTTGTTTCATATGTATGCATTCAATTAGAAAAGCCTCAAGAAAATCGTATGCTTACATTGCTTCTGTGAGCTTAGAAGAACCTCCACGCTCTCGCTCAGCAGGCGAAGTGACTAGACAACTCACACCTAAACAAGTAATGTTTGGTAACAAACAGATGAACAAAGAGTCCAATACATTCAAAAGAAAAAAGATGTGAAATTGAAATTATTAAGTTAATTACCAACAACAGAATTGGAGACCTTTCCTCCATTTTTCTCAATGCTTTTCTTCCAAAATTGCTGCATTCATCAACCAAAATGCTTATTTAATTCTCAATCTAAAACAAATCTATTAATAAGCTTTGGCACTGTTGGTTTGGTGCTTGAACGATGCCAAACCAACATCAACAACATACATGTGTTCGAGAAGGACGGCCTGATAAAGAAACCAGCATTCCTGCAAAAGGCTTGACCGGAGCAGCTAAATCCTGAGGAGGCCGACGGCTAGGTTCTTGATACTTCTTTAGCAACTATAGAACACGCAAGAACATTATGATCAACAAAATGACTTGAATTTACAACGAACAAATATATGCAGATGATGAGAGTTGAAAGTTTTACATCTGCAATAGGAGAGTTTAGAACAGAATCAGGTAATTTGATTGGCTCTTCTATCCTTGGTGGATTTCTGGTCTTAAAAGTACAACTAGACCATTCACTATAAAACCCACTGCAGCTATACCTTTTACCATCAAACTCCAACTTGCAATCACACAATGGACATTTCCCTAATGCTCCAAGAAACAGCAAATCTTGACTGTTCAAATAAGGAAAAAGATTAATTTAATATTAACAACTACTGCATAATTTCAAATTATAAGTTTGGTGGTATTAACTAACCATTTAGTGGTAATAGCGCCATCAGAGCCAGATGAATCTTGATCATTCAGATCTAATATTTCTTTCATTTGAGCAATAGAAAGTTTCTCTCTGATGGCTTTAGAGAAATCTTCAAACTCTTTAGCAATATCAGCTTTACTTTTCCCATTAGAAGAATGACTAGTGTCATTTTCGCTTTTTGCCTTCTTGGGAGATTGTTCTCCTTCCTGTCCTTTGTTCTCTGCCTTCTGCTTCCTTGTCATTATTTTACCTTCTTCAGCAGCTGGTGCATGAGCCTGAGACCTTTTCTCATGGACCTTCAGTACGTTTCCATATATGATTATTAGTTGTTAAAGCATAGGCAATCTACAATAGTCTCAAGACACTACTGAAAATAATTAATTAATTATTAAATCATTCTATCAAGATACACATTCAATTATTAAATTATTTAAAAGAAAAATAAACACTTAATTACTGGGCTGAATTATTTGGACAAACATGTAATTAATCAATTACCAAATTATCTTAAAAACTTAATATTCAAGACCGTTAAACTACTCTGAAATCTTAAAAGCAGAAACACAAGACTACTACTAAACTACTCTGTCGGCAGTGGAAGGGCTCAGATTTGAAGCTTTTCGATACTAAGAGGTTTTACCAATTTAGTGAGTTAAACCTTTGAAATACAAAAGTTTTTATCAATTTAGTGATTGTAAAAAGGACTGTCCCAATTGTAAAGTTCACAATGTTAATTATTCCAGGAAAACTTGCAGGTAAATTAAATATAAAGAAGAAGAAGAAGAAGAAGAAGAAGAAGAAGAAATTAACCAAAGAAAGTAAAGTGAGCAATAACAAACCTTCATGTTTGATTTCTATCTACACAGCTACAGAAATCTCTCTAGCTTTAAACAACAACAGTTAAGTAATCTTTTAGCTACTTCCAGAAAACCTGGGGAACACTGCTTTTCAGTTACCATCACTAATGTGTTGGTACAACCTCCTAAATAGACACGTAAAATGATTGTCCTGCAAACTCCATACCTGCTGTGTCATTTCAAGAATGTAACATGTGTACAAAGGTTTATTTCCCAGTTCCCACGTGTCCAACTGGGTATTTTTCAAAACTTGAACCTTCGACATGTGGTGATTAGATAGTTAGTGTCCGGTGTTTATGCGGTTTTACTCCGTGCATGCACCACTGAGGGCCTTTGCTTCATTCTCTTCGGCAACTTGGCAGCTTCTTGGCTTCCTTCACCAACACCTGTATACATAAGCAAACAGAAATATTATCTCTTTTATTTTATTTTATTTTTATTTTAATCTTTCTTTATGAGGCCCAATCCTATTTTTTCCAGTTACATGCAAGGGCTGTCAGTGGATTTTTCTATATTTTGTTTATTGAATTTCTTAATTAAAGAATAACATATTTTTAAAATTATCTTCAAGTTTTTGATTAATAATTTTTCCTTTCGAACATGTAATACGGAAATACTTTTTTTTTTTTCTGGAAAATTATATATATATATATATAAACTATTGTAATTGTTACTGGACCGAAGAACAGCGATAATGGTAAGCAAGTAGTAAATTAATTGTATCATTTGGTGCATGCACGCTCTAGAGTAAAAGAATTGTCTTAAAATAACTCTGATCAATTGAATATGATACTTGCTAATTATTACATCTTAAGCTAGGCTTTAAATAGCCTTTTATAAAGCAATAGAATGCAAGAAAATAGATCATGATAGCTACTGCAATCAACTAAAACAAGAATAAGTCAGAAACAGCTACCTCTCCTAGAGACTAGGACTTTATTGAAATAGAAAGTCAAATACTCCTATCTTCAAGCAACTAATTTCAACAGAAAAACACCCTTCAATCCTTCCCTTAAACTAGCTGCAAATTGCAGTTAGTTTACGTGAGATCACACATTCTCATCTTCTCTTTGAGTTTCTGAAAAGCTTTGAGTTTTAGTGCCTTGGTCATCACATTTGCTATTTGCTCTTAAGTTCCACAATGAACTAACTTAATTTTTTCATCTTTTACAAGATCTCTCAAGAAATGAAAACACACCTTGATGTGCTTGCTTCTTCCATGCATTACTGGATTTTTTGAGAGTTTAATTGTAGAGGTATTATCACACATGATGGTGGTGCTTCCTTGTTGAACATGACCCAAATATCTAAAAACCCTTCTCATCCATACAACCTAACATGCACAAGCAGCAGCTGCCACAATCATCCATACAACCTAACATGCACAAGCAGCAGCTGCCACAAACTCTGCTTCGGTGGTTGAAAGTGTAACAATCGATTGTTTTTTTCAACATCCAAGACACAGCACCTGAACTCAATAAGAGAACATAACCTTATGTGCTTTTGGAATCTTCTTCATCATCTGCATAATCCGAGTCTGTGAAAACAATCAAATCTTCTTCCCCTCCCTTTTTAGAAAATACCATGACTAGTAGTTCCTTTCAAATAACGCAGAATTCTCTTAGCAGCTTGCAAATGTAATTCAGTGGGTTTTGACATGTACCTATTGACTATGCTCTCACTAAACATGATGTCTAAACATGTAGCTGTAAGATACATTAAGCTTCCAACAATTTGCTTGTAGTAGGTGCATCCATAGAAATTCCATCAGCATCCCTCCTTATTTTGAAACTTGGAATAATTGGACTACTTATAGATTTGCTTTCTGACATTCCGATAGCATATTTCTTTTGACAGACGAAAATCCCTTCTGGTTTCTGCAACACCTCAATTCCAAGGAAGAACCTCATCTTCCCCAAGTCAGTCATATCAAAGGCTTGCATCATGGAATTCTTGAAGTCAACCATCATGCCTTTATCTTCACCGGTATAAATTAAGTCATCCACGTCTACGCTAACAATCAGCAGTTTGCCTTCACTGTTTCTCTTAGTGAACAATGTCAGCTCATTTGGACACTCCTTGAAAGCTTCTTCAATGAAATGAGACTCAATTCGACTAAATCAAGCTCTTGGAGTCTGTTTTGAGCGGTAAAGGGCTTTGTGCAGCTTGTTCACTTTGTGCTCACTTTCCTTCCTTAGATACCCCTTTGGTTGCTCAATGTACATGTCCTCGTTGAGTTCACTATGGAGAAATGCAGATTTGACATCTATTTGAAAAATGTTCCACCCTTTGCATGCTGCAAGTGCCACAATCATTTTTACGGTGTCCATTCGAGCCATTGGAGCGAAAACTCCATTGAAATCAATCCCTTGCTGTTGAGCGTATCCTTTGGCCACCAGTCGATCTTTATACTTGTCAACTTCATCGTGCTCGTTCAGTTTTGTCTTGAAGATCCACTTAACACCAATTGTTTTAGATCCAACTGGCAATTCCATGAGCTTCCAAGTCTGATTTTTTTCAATGGAGTTTTTTTCACTATCCATAGCCTTTCTTCACTTTTCTTGTTTCACAGCATCTTCGAATACAATGGGGTCTGCAACTGCAATATCTTATATTATATAGGCTGCTTCCTCACCATCACTTATTCCTTCTCAGCTGAAATAATCCCCCATCCATGGCGGCTACCTACTTTCTCTCCCTTGAGCTACCACACCCCGAGAATTGCCCTCACCATTCCTAGCTTCACTATTTTCATCACCCTCATTATTTTCATCACTACTATCGAATTCCATATCACTACCTGACCCATCACCATCACCATTATCATTTTCCTCACCTCTATTTTCTCCCTCATTTTCTTTATCACTAAGGTCATCATCTCCTCATACTAACTCTGCCTCAATTTGCTCCTAAAACTTTTTTCCCTTTTCCAGCTCCTTTCTTCCTCAAATACAACATCTAAAACTTTTTTCCCTTTTCCAGCTCCTTTCTTCCTCAAATACAACATCCTTGCTAACTACAATACTTTTTAAATACCTGGAATAGAACTAGCCTTAGCAAAAACTCTAATTGGAACTCCCATTAAACCCCAATCCCATAGGCATAGGGTACTTGCTTTGATTGCAGCAAATAGCAGATCCTTTCCTTCGGAATGAGAAAGCCGAGTTGCAGATTCGATCAGCCAGTGTTAGTTTGCAACCATCCAGAAGCAGTAATTGCTTAGCGAATTTCATAAGCCTTTGGAGTTGGTGTTGGCTTGCCCTAATTCTATACTATGCAACTCCAAGACCTCTTCCCTTGTAGAAAGATGGACGATATGAAGGATAAGAACCTACTAGTCTTAGGATCAAATAACCTATATCCTTTCGACTCGTCACTAACACCTAAAAGAATACAAGGAAAAATTTTATCATCTAATTTACCTCGCTTTGCTTCCGGAATGTTCACATGTGCCACACAACCCCATACTTAGAGATCGCCATATTATGGTTTCGAGAACCGGAACCGTTGGTTCGAACCGGTCCGAAACCGTAACCGGAACCGGTGAGAACCGGAACCGGGCCGAACCAAAACCGAAACTGGAGAATTCCGGTTCGGTTCCGATTCTTCTAAATTTTTTGGAACCGGAACCGGCGGTTTAGAGAACCGGTCGGAACCGGACTGGAACCGCCGGTAGGACCGCCGCTTCGAACCGGTTCGAACAGGCAGTTTTAGCCAAAACTGTCCAGTTTTTTTTTTTTTAAATTTGTGTGAAATCTCTTGTAATTATGTTTCAAGTCTTTTAAAAAATAAATTTAATTGAAGTATTTTTTTAATTTTTAGGTGTATCTTTTAATATTTTTATGTTCAAATATATATATTTTAAATCGGTCTTTCAAAATTTAAATTATTTCCAAACTTTTTTAACAAAAATAAAATTCAGTTTGAAAATTTTTTTTTTAAAAAAAATAATATGTCAAGGTCTTTTTAAAAAAATAATTTAATTGAAGTATTTAAAAAAATAATTATGTTCAAGTCTTTTAAAAAAATAAATTTAATTGAAGTATTTTTTAATTTTTTAGGTGTATCTTTTAATTTTTTATGTTCAAATATATAAATTTTTTAAAACCGGTCTTCAAAATTTAAAATTTAAAATTATGCGATTCGCCGGAAAACCAATTGGAACCGTTGGTTTGGTCACCGTATCGGAACCGAAATTGGAACCGGAACCGTTCGGTTCCAAACCGGAACCGAAACTTTTCGGTTCGGTTCCGATTCTAGTTTTTTTGGAACCGGAACCGCCGGTTCTGGAACCGTGGCCACCCCTACCCATACTCAAAAGTGATCAACTGATGGTTTCACTTCGCTCCATGCATCCTGAGGAGTGATGTTTTTTACCGTAAGAGTAGGACACCGGTTCAGCAAGTAGAACATCCAGTTTACAGCTTCAGTGCAGAATATTTTAGGCACCTTCTTGGCAGCTAGCATGCAACGTACCATCTTCATTATGGTCCTGTTCTTCCTCTCGGCAACGCCATTTTGATGAGGTGCGTAGGCGGTAGTAAGTTGTTGTTTGATCCCTTATTCTTCACAGAATGCTTTGAAATTGAATGAAGTGAACTTGCCACCTCTATCTTTCCTTAAACATTTGATGGACTCTTTTGCTTCTTTTTCCACCATCTTCTTGAAGGTTTTGAAACATTCTAAAGCTTCTAATTTCTCAAGCAACAAATACACCCATGATTTACAATTATAATCATCAATGAAACATAAAGTGTACCTCTTTCCACTACTGGATATGGGATCAATGGGACTCCAGATGTCTGCATGAACAAGCTCTAAGACCTTGCTTGCTTGCCATTACTCTTTTTGGGAATTGCATTTTGTTGTTGCTTGCCGGTGAAACAATTGATGCATACTGTCTTTGAATCTTCTAATTGTGGCAGTCCATGTACCATCTTCTTAGATTGCAAAATTTTCAACCCCTTATAACTTAGATGCCCATATCATTGGTGCCAAAGATATATGAGGTCTAAGGAGCTGGTGAGTAAACGCTCTTCTAATTGTGGCTTAGTGATTGATGAGCTTTCATTTAGGAGCACAAAAATTCGATTTGCACTCATTCTTGTGAGTGCAATTAGTCCTTTATC